ACATGCACAAGAACAAATCTAGGCCTAGTCCAAACTAAGACTAAGTCCAGATCTAAACCCAACTTTATTAATGCCCAATTTATAAGACAATTCTCATTCACAACTCAATGATTTCGGCTCATTATTTTTGTATTACAATCTTCTCACTTAAGATAATATAAAACTACTCAGACCCACCTTAACCGGCAGTTAGGTCTCACTTTAATTTCGAATTAAAGTTGCCGAAAAACCATTATTTTTGAACAGTTTGTGCAGAACAACTTGATCAATATGTATGGAAAGTGTGGAGAGATAGGTCTCTCTTGTGCTGTTTTTAAGAAGATGGAGCAAAGGACTGTTGCTTCATGGAGTGCCCTTATTACAACCCATGCTAGCTTGGGGTTGTGGTGTGAGTGCCTCGAGATTTTTGGGGAGATAAGCAAAACGGGTTGTTAGAGGGTTGAGAAGAGTGTTATGGTAAAGCCTATGACGTGCACCTTTACTGGTGCATATCATGTACACCCTATCACAAATTGGTGTAATTTTATTAAAAAAAAAATCGTAATATCGATTATGAAATAGGTAATCTCGCCACAAATTAATGTGATAAAATGTCTAAAATTTTGTAGTTAATGTTACAAAAATTTGTAACTTAATTATGATATTTTTTGTTCCTTTTTTTTTCGTGTGAAAAAAACAGCAAACAAAAAAGTTCAAGGCATTAAACCTTAACAAACAAAAGATGACCCAACAATATTTACAACAAGCAGGCTGGCAATCTCACTAAGACAGTCATCAAGAAATAAAAAAGATTCATGACGGTTCATTCCCAAATTTTCCAAGCCATCAGCATATTTGATACCTTCCCTAATGATGTGGCCTATGGTGCAGTTGCATCTCCTTATAAGGAATCTTGCATTTTCAAGCAAAGCCCTGTGAGGAAAGTGTGAAGGGATTTCACTCTACATAAACTTGACAATCTACTTTGAGTCAATCTCAATATCAATGTCCTTCATGTCTTTCTCAAACATTATGGTGAGTTCTCTATAAACCCCCCATAATTCAATTTCAACACCCGTGGCTTCTACTAGCTTGTTGTGGTATCCATGCACCTAGAAGCCCCTAAGATGAACAAGCCGCCTAATCCAGCTGCACCAGGATTGCCCTTAGTGCATTCATCTATATTCAGTTTGGGTTTTTCTACAAAGGAGGAATCCAATTAGTGTTGCGAAATAGAAGTTAAATTGTAAATAGGTCAATCTGAAAAGCTTCGTGTGTTTCCCTAGCTTGATTATAAATTCTCCTAATTGCCTTTAGTGGCGTGGTTTCCACTTGGAGAAAGACTCAGTTATTTCTATCCTTCTATATTTTCCATAATGTAATGATGAATACAACTCCCCATGAAATGTTCAGGATTTCATTGTCCTTGTTCTTCATATTAACTTGAAGCCAATGCTCTATACAAGAAACATAAAGGGACATGGTTTATTTTCTAGAATGTGAGGGAGTTAAATGTATCTATCATGAGTGGGTGTTTGTAATTTATCCTAAGGGACATTTACGGGCCGATTTTATTAAAGAAACTTATTTACCTATAAGTCATGCTCATTTTTTCACAGGGTAAATTACACTTTACTCATTTTATGTTTGGTCACTTTTCCCTTTGGCCTTTAAAGTTTGGTTTTTTCTCACTTTAGCTTTTCATGTTTTAAGTTTTTCTCAATTTACTCCTAAAGCTAATTTCTGTAAAAAAAATTAGACAGAAAATGACACATTAACAGTCACGTGGCATAAAAATATTTTATTATATATAACTCACATCTCTAACATAAACTTAAAATTCAATATAATATATTATTTAAGTTAGGTAATAGTTATTATGGCCTTTTCTATCTAATTTTGAACAGAAATTAGCTTCAGGAGTAAACTGAAAAAAACTTAAAACATAAAGGGCCAAACTAGGAAAAAAAAGCAAACAAACTTGAAGAGCCAAAGTAGGAAAATGATCAAACATAAAGAGGGTAAAGTGTAGTTTACCCTCTTTTCACCTATCAATATTCCTAAAATACCCTTACTTTACCTTCTGCATCCCTAATTATGACTCTTCTCCTTTGCTAGCAACCACCCCCGGTGCCGGTGACTACCTCCAGTGATATTTTTTGGCAACATTTTTTTGAATTGTTTTAACAAAAATAACATCTATCACTACTACATCACAACTCCCACCACTCAGTCACTCATTCATATTTACACACACACACACACACACACACACACACACACACACACACTTTTACTCATAGAAATACAACCAGATAGACATATATAACACAGTCTAATCTAATAAATATTACAAACACATTCAGTGATAAATTTATCACTGATCGATTTCTAAAAAAATTACAAATAAATTTGATTTACTCACTCTTACTCATGTTCATTAATGAATTTATAATTGACAAAAAAAAAAATCTAATAAATACAAAACCCACCCTCATCTCACACATACATAGGGAACAATAGAGATTGACAAATTTATCACTGGGAAAAAAAATTTGAATCCATCACAGATCAATACAAAATCGACAATATAAATTTATCACTGGGTGATTTGTTAAAAAAAATAAAAATAAAATAAAAAAAAGAAAGCAATTCACTTATTCACATTCACACTTCTACTCACTTACAAGACACTATCATCTTACATACATATACACAACAAGAGACTGATAAATTTGTCACTGAAAAATAAACTTATTGCAGATCTATTTTTAAGTTTAGAGAGAGAGAGATAGAGGATGAGGACGAGTAAGATCTAAAATAATACTGTTGATTGGAGTCATTTAGAACCGATTTTATCGTTGAAACAACTAAATCGATGTAGATCTAGAACTAGATCGGTGGATCAGCGACGGTAGAATGGAGATCGGAGATGTAGAGTGTAAATCGGCATTGGTGGAGTGTAGATCGGTCATGGTAGAAGTGGTTGGTGAACGGTGGTGGTAGATTGGAGATGGTAGAGTGTAAATCAATAGTGGTAGCGAATGGACAGCGGCAGCGGTGAGTGGAAGATGATGGTGGCAATAGTGGGTCGACAGCAACGATAGTAGTGATCGGTGGATGACAATGGTGGCAGTGGTCGCGAGGTAGCAATGGTGATGTCAGTGTGAGTTCTTGGAGAAACATTAGGGGGGAAAAAAAAAGAAAGATAAGAGGATGAGGGCAAAATAAAAATATTAAAATTTATTAGAGCATACAAAATACGTATAGACATCTAGGTAATTAAATTCAATTAATGGGAACAGTTTGTTTGTTTTTAATTTTTAGGATTCACTTTTCAGAAATTTAAATTTTTTTATTTTTTGTATTTATTTTTTGTTTTTATTGAATTTTTTAATATTTTAATTTTTTTATACACCTATATTTGTGAAAAAATCTTTAAAAAATTTACTATATATATATATATATATATGAAAATTCAGTACATTTTCGTATTCTTAAGTATTTATTAATTTTTTAAAATATTTTTTTTATAAATATTTTAATTTTTAGAAACATCTAAGTATAGTACATTTAAAAAAATAAGAAAAAATTATTTAAAATTTTAAAAATATTTGTTAAAAATTAAAAAAATATGAAAAAAATAAAAAAACTTAATATTCAATGTAATAGGATTACAAAAAAATGAGAAGGGCACTTACCAATAAGTCCATACACAAAATTCAAAATCCATCTAGTCCGAGAACAAAACACTTGCACCAATTAATGATACATACTTTTAATTGTTACCAAAAAATCTCTTTTTTTATAACTTTAAAAACGCTGCTACATCCCACCATTGCTGAATTTTCGTCAAACGATCACTAGAGACTTATCGGAATATTCAACATAATCGAAAAATCGCCGGAATATCGCTAAAAGTTCACCAGAGTGTTTTGAACGTCACTTGAAGTCACTGGAATGTTCAGGATGTTCTTTGAACATCAAGAACGTTATCGAAGACTCATCAGAATATCCAGAATATTGCTGGGGAAAAAAAAGAAAGAATAGAGAAATTAAAGTGAAAAAAATAGTGAAATGTGCTAAATATTGATAAACTGAAAGAAAGAGAAAAAAAAGAAAAAAAAACAACAACAACAACACAACAATGAAAAAAAATATATATTATTTTTCAATTTTTGTAAAGTTTAAGCAAATAATCTCCAATATTGATCAATTGAAGTAAGTTTTGAAACTGTAAAATGTTACAGTTTTAAAGCATGATTTTACTAAGCATTTATCTTTATTAATCAAACTGGAAAGCATGTTATGAAACTGTAAAATTTTACAGTTCTAAATAATGTTATGAAATTGTAAAATTTTATAGTTTTAAAGCATGATTCATTTCAGTGCCAAAAAAAATGAAACTGTAAAATTTTATAATTTTTATCACCTGTAACTAAAACTTAAAAATAATTTATTTAGAACTTAAAAGTTTTCTCTATTCAAATAGGAAAATAGAAGTGTATAGCAGAGAAAATGTAGAAAAATTGAGAAATCGAAGGAGAGAAACAAATATAGAGAGAACATTGTACTTTGACAACTATTTTTGATTTAGATCTAGTCAGCTCTCATGTAGATTTATTGACTACATCTACTAATATTTTTGATAAAAAACTCATCTCTTTTGCAGTCGGTGAAGGTGAAGTAAGGAGTTGATGGTCAATGGTTATGGGTGAATCCCAAGAAAGAATGGTCGTTAGTCACCAATAACTATATATTAAGAAAAAAAATAGAAGAAGTAAGGCATGCTAGACGGCCACCATAAATCAAAAAGAAAAAGAGATAAAACAACAAACACAGTAAAAAATAAAACAAAAAAAATACGTAATAAATTTTTAAAAGTATTCAAAAAGTTACTAATAAACTTATTCCCTTAGTATGACTTCCAAATAATTTGCTCAAAACGAAATGATAGTTTGGGCCATCAGGCCCACAAGGTCCAAACCCGTTTTAACGAGGATGAAAATGCAAAGGCCGCGCTGCTTGTACTCTCTCTCTCGCTCTCTCTCTCTCTCTCTCTCTCCAGCGAACTCCATCAATTTGAGTGAATGGCAAGCACCGGCGGCGGCGGCGCTTCGAATCAGTCAGTTGGCGGCGGTGGTGGGTCATCTCATCCGCCTCCTCCTAAAATCCTATTAGCCAAGCCTGGCCTCGTCACCGCCGGCAAGTTCACCCGCGGCGGAGCATCCGCCGATGACGATTCAGTCTCCATTCGCTCTCGTCTCCCTTCCGTCGGTTCTCTCAACCTAATTTCTGATTCCTGGGACTTCCACACCGATCGCATCCTTCCCGTAAGCTCTCTCTCTCTCTCTCTCAACTCATCTGAATGTAAAGGGACTGGCTAGGTTACTTCAGAGACTAATAGTTCTCTCTCCAATTCTAGGGTTTTATAAAAATCTGAGAAATTTGGAATTTTTTGTAGTTTCTGACGGATAATACTGATTTTACGGTGATTGGGGTGATCGGACCACCTGGGGTAGGGAAGTCGACGATAATGAACGAGCTCTATGGCTTTGATGGAACTTCACCTGGTAACATATACATAAATGCTCTTACTCTTCTATATATTTATATGATTTTCTGTTCATTTTATAAGAAAGAATGATAGAAAATAATACTAGAAATGTGAAGCTGCTTTTGATAGAAAGTTTATTGCTCAATAAAAGTGAGTAAAATTAGCTTGTTTATCATGCAGGAATGTTGCCGCCATTTGCGATACAGTCAGAGGAAACCAGAGCAATGGCTAGGCACTGTTCTGTTGGCATTGAACCACGGATTTCGGCTGAACGGATTATACTTCTTGATACGCAGGTACCCTACTAGTAACACCTTTATTATATATATATAGATATTAGCGGCAGTGCACACGCTATTGATGTGCAAACCAAAAAAAAAAAAGAAAAAAATTGGGTGGTTTGTTGAATGAGAAATATGGGTTGCTTTTGAAAACTGATTAGGGATGTGGCATCTTTATCATAGACTAGATATACCGTTGTCTTTCCTTGTCATTGAAGAAGTTTTTTTCAGGTCCTGTTGTGTTACTTCTACTTTGATTGCTGGGATTAAATTTAATTACTATATAAAAGCATTAATTCCAAAACAGTTTATATTCAACACAGAAATCAAGAATTGTAGATATGTTTTGAATTCCAAATAAAGTCAGCAAACCAGAACAGGGAAGGAATAAAAGAGATAAAATTAGTCTCTTTAATGACTGATTTGGAGATTGGAACTACTACTGCACTTCTGTTAGATTAAGCAGCAAACAGGAGCATAACACACTGATGTGGGAGCTTTAATATGTATTCTTTATATCATTGATTAAAAATTGTCAGTATGAGTATATACATGCTCATCTACCCATCCAGAAATTGGATTTGATTTGCAAAATAAAAAATGACTTTAATTTTTTTTCATAGGAAGACTCATTTTATGCAATTCTTGCCTCTTTGGTACTACATACTTACGATAATACAATGCCCAATTTTGCTTACCCCTTTGGTCATGGCTTACCACTATCATGAATACCCCACATTGACTTGATTTATCTTGTTTATCCCTGAATTACGGATGTCATATAAAGCTGTCAGAACACTTGAAAAATTAAAGATGTAAACAAAAGCTCTACTAGTTGATACGGCGGTCACTTTATACCATGATTGTCATTATTTGTCTTGCATTATTGCCAACATTGCAAATTTCACTAATTGGTTAGGTTTAAACTGCTAAAAGAGTTACTTAATAGAAAATTACTTCTGCCTGCAAATACATACATGACGAAAACCAGAAAAGAAAAACCCAGTGTCAACTATGGTTAGGTAGCTTATTTATTGATATTTAAATCAGGAAGCAATGAAGACTTCTATTTTTTCAATTTTTGCATTTGCTTCTGTATATGGTCCATTGTAGAACAGTGCTTTTTAGTTGCATGTTATTCTACTAGTTAATAAACTCCTTTATGACATGCAGCCTGTATTTAGTCCTTCTGTTTTAGCTGAGATGATTAGACCTGACGGCTCATCCACAATCTCTGTATTAAGTGGTGAATCTCTATCTGCTGAGTTGGCTCATGAATTGATGGGTATCCAGGTAACTGCCAAACTGAAGCAGACTTAATAGTTTCGTTATTGACTGTAAAATACAAAATTATTGAATGCAGATAATCTTTATTGTTGGCTCTTTTTTGTTTATTTGTTTGTTTTCATTACTTATTTGGTGGTTGCTTAAAGCCCATTCTAAAAGTTCTCAAGGTTTAAAAGACTAATGAAATTAACCTTTTCCTCGATGCTGCAAGGGATCCTTCTAGCTTGGTGTTCTCCTGGCATCAATTTGTCATATAATACTGGTGGTATCAGATGGAGTACACGATATTAACATGTGGCGTTTGATGTTGACGGTACTCTTCTATTCTATATCACTGCCTTTTGATTGGATTTGATGTCTCAATGCACCAATAAGGTTTTGTTATAGTGTTGAACTGGTTTCTTATCATATGAAGATCAAAAAAGTTATATTAAGAAAGATTGGAAGTTATATATCAATGTTCTTTAATTTCCACTTTTTGAAGCAATAAAAAAAAACGCCCAATTAGTACACATTAATGTGTGTTTGAAGCAATATTTTATTTTAATGATAGAATCACCAATTCCAATGTGACTAACTTGTATCATATGGTTCAGATTCTCCTCATATTTGACAGTGTGTCCTACAATCAAGGCATGCCACTTCAGTTGCTTTGCTTTTGATTTATCAGGGTTATGCTCTTCATCTTGCCCTTCCTTTGGGGCACCCGCCTTCTTCTTCCTCCACCCCATAGTCATCCTTTTTGCATCTAAAATGGTCAATGTCTCCTAATCACAATACTAGTGCACCATGATACTCTTTGCCTTTGAACTGAGCTACATTTTAATAGTAAGAATTCCGACTGTCAGAACCAAAAGAAAAACCATGTCCAGACTGGCTTATTCATTGCGTGAAATTGGAATTGGAATAATATCACTATCATGTGTTGATAAAATCGAGGTTCTCAGCTGTGATACTAGTTGTCGTATTATTTTGATTTTTTAGTTAGTATAATTTACTCTAGAACCAAAAGAAAACCATGTCCAGACTGGCTTATCCACTGTGTGAAACTGGAATTGGAATAATGCTACTATCATTTGTTGATGAAATGGAGGTTCAGTGGTGAAAATTGTCATATTATCCTGATTTTTTAGTTAGTATAATTAACTCTAGATCTTGTTACTCCTGTATAGCAAAGACCACATCATAACGGAGCCATGTAGTTGAGTCATTGTAATAGCAAGGACATTGGCTTAGGTAGCGAGAATGCAAACCCTTGATTTCTTCTTTTATGTTTTGGCCCTTTAATGTGAATGAAAAATACAACTTGATTGTAATTTCTTGAATTTTAAACCATATTTTCGGGCCCAAAGCTTATTATTTTTTCATTATTTTTCCTTTTCCATTTTTTATATTATATTTTGGGGGACTAAGTGTATTATATTTTGTTTTATTCTTATGTCAAGGTTGGTTAAGTGCTTTTGTGAAAAAGATTAGGTAATAACTGGACTTGCATGGGTGAAGTAAATTCTTGATAATTTCAATTGTCTCCCACTGTTCGTTTTGTACGGTGTACACTAAATATAACTATGAAATCCAAGATTCCTTCCTCCGCAGTTTCGCACTTCATCTTACTAATTTATTTCCCCCTTGCTTTTTCTAATTTTGGAGTTGAACTTTGAACATATGGTATAATTTGTTTACATGTGCAGGTGGACTTGTTGAAGCATGGCATACCTGACCCATCTTCTCCCACACTTTCCCATTCACAGACCTCTAGCCTGGGTTCTGAAAAAGAAAGCAAAGATAAAATTCAGGAGGCTGGAGAAGGGTATATGGCAGCTCCAGTTTTTGTACATACGAAGTGAGTGATTTTACCTCATAGTTACCAGCATCAATATTAGGTCACAAATTTTAGAAATGAAGATATTACATTATTTTATTATGTGTGAAGCTTGGGAATTAAGTATTGGAAAGCATTATCAAATATACCCTAGAGAGTGATAAAATGGTCAATGTTTATATGAGACTTTCATTACTTGCCAATGTTGTCATACACAATACAGGTGACATTATTTTGTATCCATTTTCAATTTACAGACGTCATTTGACTTTTTTGGTTAATTCTTTCTCAGATTGAGAATAAATTTCAATTTCCTAAATTTCGAAAATATTAATGTAATTTCTTAGATGGAACTTTTAGGTATTTAAACAATTAAATTGGTCTTCTAAAAAATGTAATTGATTCATATGTTACTAGGTTTTTTCTTTTATCAATAACAAATGAAATAAATTAATCATAAGATATGGTTTGCACATCCCTCTTGTAGTCTTGTGCACTTTTAATACACAGTTACTCTTTTTTTTTTATTTTGAAAAAAGAAACAATGTCTAAGTTCAATTTAATCTATTAATATCCGTGGATTTATGATGGAGCTATATACACATGATAATCTCACTCAAGGAAGAAAAGGCGAAGAATAACTCGTGCAACAGTTATATAGATGACTAAATAAGTTTCCATCTGCATTTCTGTTTGGTCATATTTTGTTACATTTGTATGTAGAATTTGAAAGTAACAATACATCCTCAAGTATGTAGGATGCACTGTATAGCATGGGTTATACATTCCTGTGGATAATGATATTTTGTGCAATCGGATAGATTCCATTCCATTGGCTGGGAAACCACAATGAATTGACTTAACAATTTAAAAGTTGTGTGGACATTCATACGCATCCTTTTTCTGTTGTATCAATTTTGTACAATAATTTCTTCTTAATATTTTAAGATCCATGGGTTGCTTCACCTCAACTTAAATTTTAATGTTCTTTTGAATTAGCTGAAAGATTGTTGTGGGTTGGAAAGCTATGCCATCTCTTTATATACTTCCATATGCATTAATCTACTAAAATTCACCTTCTCATTGTTTGTAGGCTGCAGGACCAAGATCTTTCTCCTCATAACTGCATGCAACTAAAGAAAGCCCTCGTGCAATATTTCAGATCCTCTTCTTTCAAGCTAACTAAATACCAAAATGCAGCCAAAGATCATCACTTCTCTTCTGTCTCTCTCAATAACCAGAGCAACAATCCAGACTCAACACTGCCAAACTTATTTCTAATCCCATTTAAGAGTAAAGATGACTCCCCAAGGGCACAGTATGAAAGTTTTATTTCTACATTATGGAAATTACGGGATCGGGTATCTCTCACTTTCTCTTTATGTAGCCTGATTTTACATATGACCCCTCATTTTGTGCATCTTTAGTTGAAAAATGTATATCAAAAGCTTAAATTGATGTTCCTTTTGCCTTACAGGTTTTATCCACGAGTAGCCCATCTTTTGCGAGGACGGTGTCTGAACGGGACTGGCTTAAGAACTCTGCCAAGATATGGGAACTGGTGAAAAACTCTTCAATAATTGCAGAGTATAGCAGAACACTACACAGTTCTGGCATGTTTAGGCGGTAGTTGTGAACTCTCTCTCCTCTATTTATCGTGCCAATGGAAACATTGTCACAATGTTGATCGTGTAGTTTGGATTATGGTTTTTGACAATCCAACAAGCTGGTTTGACTATTTGTGGAAGTACCTTTTTTTTCTTTTCTTTCCCGTTCTTTTCCTGTTTGACTATCTGTGGAAGTACCTTTTTTTCTTTTCTTTTCCTGTTACTTTTGTTAACGTTCTAAGGCCGAGTCCTTATAAGTAGAAATTTGGGTTTCGTTACGTGATTCAAACTGCAGTTTCTTTTCATTGTTGGGTTCTTTCCCACTAACCACATATACTATATAGGGTTGATTGCACTGATGGTCCCAAAATATACAATTTGTTACACTTAGTACCTGTCAATGCCAAAATAGGGGTATTTTTAAAATTTTATATAAAATCTCAGCAAAATAAAAATAACTAAATAGACACATAATCTTGAAGTATGCATTTTGTAATATTTTTGTTCCTAAAATTTCAGTTTTATTTCATTTTAATTTCTAAAATATCTACTTTCTTGCACTTTCATCCTTGTTCTTTTAATTTCATTGCGTATTTTTTTGTAAAATTTAGAAAATTTCTCTTCTACTATCGATTTTGAACAATATTGATGTTAGAGACTGAAGGGTAACAAATCGTATCCTTTGGAAATCAAAGTGGAACACTTAAAAAAAATTACTAAAAAATTTAAATAACATTCACATAAGTGTTGAATCTACACCATATGAAATTTACACTCATGTGAATATTGTGTAAAATTTTTAACATTTTGAGGGTCTCATCATTATCAAGCTCATTACAGCTTTCTCTTGACTATTTTATAGTACAAAACTATAGAAATACAATCTATCAAACTCAATTCTTGGTTAACTATTTTAGTTGAATATCAAATTATTAACTACATGTAGTTAGGAGCGATTATTTGAAAGAGAACTCAAAAAATGAAATAAAGAATAGAGTGTTTGTTGGAGAATGTATTTGAAAAAACGGTTAGTTAAAATATAAAAATAGACTTTTAGTTAAAATTTAACTAAAAATTTGACCGTTTTAATGGAGATACATATCTGTTAAAAGATTGAAGACTAAAATGTAACAAAGTGCATATTTTGGAAACCATTTGTGAGAATTGGAAGCAGTAGAAGAGGTGGTCAAGAAAGAACAACTCAGCCTCCGTTTGGGAAGTGGGTTAGGTTTTTTACTTTTTGGCTATTTTAGTCCGGGGCTAAAAAGACTGGTTTGAGAAGGACTTTTTGACTTTTTTGGCTTTTTGGCTTTTGGGTGAGGTGTCTCCATATTAAAAGACCAAACTGCCCTTCAAGTGACTCATGTCAATTCATTCGCAAACATCCTCCACGTCAGCGTCATCTCGGACCGGAATGAATTTTCTTTTTTTTTTTCTTTTTCCGTTTGGATTTGGCGTCTTTTTTGTTTTTATGGTTCTTTTTTTTTAATTTTTATGTTGTTGTCATTTTTCTTGCAAATTTTTTTTTTTTTTTTTTTTAGAAATGGGTTCTCATGTGTTTTATTTATTTGTAAATTACATGACAAATGCTAATTGATGTGTTGATGTTTTTATTTTTTTATTTTTTTGGATGAGGCGTATTTTTTAAATTCTTTTTTTTTAATTTACGTTTTTTTCATTTTTTTTTTCTTTGCATACATTAATTTCTTTTTATATTTCAAAAATGAGTTTTCATGTGTTTTATTTATTTGTAAATAAAACAGGCAAATGCTAATTTCTGTTTGACATTTTTTTTTTTTGTGTGATGAGACTTATTTTTGTGGTTCTTTTTTTTTTCATTTACGCTTTACAAAATTTTGTTTTATTTTTATACATTAATTTGTTTTTTGTTTTAAAAATAGTTTTTCATGTATTTTCATTATTTTTAAATTATGTGGCAACTGCTATTTTATGTTTTTAATTTTTTATTCTTTATTTTTTACTTTGTTTGGTTTTTTGGAAAAACATTTTTTCATGTCATTTATTTAAAATGATGTCAAAAATCATATATTGCCATGGCACATGATAAAAAATGATTTCTGTTTTTTCATGTGTTTTTTTATTTTGATTTTTAAAATTAAATTTTTTTTTTCATTTTCTGTAAAATGATAAAAAGTGAGGTTTTATTTTATTGTCCTGTGTATTTTAAGTGTTTTTTTTTTTTTTTTTTTTGCAAATGGTTTTTTCATGTGTTTTTTATTTTAATTTTTATTTTAATTTTTTTTTCATTTTCTGTGAAATGATAAAAAGTGAGGTTTTATTTTATTGACCTGTGTATTTTAAATAATTTAATTTTATTTTTATTTTAAATATTTAATTTTATTTTTATTTTTAATTTAATTTTAATTTTATTTTAAATATTTAAATAATGTAAATAATCTAAAAAAATTAATAAGTAAAAAATTAAAATAAATATTCAAAAAATTTAAACCGTAAAAATTTAAATAATTTAAATATTCAAAAAATTATTTTAACAAAAAAATTTAAATAATTTAAAATGTTAATATTTTAAATTTAAAAACAACTCTACATTTAAATCGTAACTAAACACATAAAATAAAACTCAATTAATAAATTATTTTTAAAACTCATAACCAAACACATAACTCGAAACTCCATACTACTTTCACAACTCTACACTAAAATCATAACCAAATACATAACAAAAAAATTAAAATATTTAAAAATATTTTTATAAATAGAGTTTGAATTTATTTTTATAAAATATTTTAACAAAAAACAAAAAAATGTTTTTGATTTTTTTTTTTTTTCAACTTTCTTTGTTTTTTCTAGGAAAAGGTGTTTTTTTGGAAGAAGGTTTTTTTTTTTTACTTTGTGTGTGCTGACGCTGAGGCGATACCCATCTTTCATGTGGAGGTAATTTTGTAAATTTATCTTGGCATTGGTTGTTGCCAAGCACCTGTGAAGCTTTTGTCTCCATGTGGCTAAATTAGACTTTTTTGTCCGGACGTGGCTGGTTTAGCCCCAACTTTGCTTCCCAAACACCACCTCAGTTGTCAACACAGTAAACTGAGGCGAAGATATATATGTAAACAAATATCAAAATAAAAACTAATAATTGAGAATAATTTATGTAATAGACTAGATGTTTCTACTATCTAGCAAATACATTTAAAGTGCTAGCTAAACTAGCGATTATTTATTTATTTAATCTTACCTGAAGTATATACATACATAAAAATAAAAAATAAAAATAAAAAAAGGTCGGTCATCTCCACATGGATGTAAATGAACTATAAACATCTCAAAGTGATGTTTTTTTTGTTTGTTTGTTTGTTTGTTTGTTTGTTTTTTTTTTTAATACAGAGCTAATAAGAGTGATCCGAAGGTAAACAAATACTAAAGGAGTTTGGCCTCGATCTCCTCCAGACTGAGCCCCTTTGTCTCCGGTACAATGAAGTATATGAAAACAAGAGATACAATAGCTATTCCTGCAAAGGCGAAAAACAAAGGTCCAGCTCCCAGCAATGCCTGCAATCACAAGTAAAAATAATTGTAGATAAATAAGTATGTGGACTTTATTGAGAAAGCATTAAGATGATACAAAAAATACAAAAATCCCAAAGGGGACAAAAATCACCCTCTAACTAATAACCTCATCCAAAAACTCTAAAAAACCAAACATATCCAGATCAATTTTCATCTCTAACTATCTATACAAAACAGCTAGTAAACGACTCTCAAGCCAACTAACTATGCGATGAATCTCCTGAAACGTGCACCTATTACATTCCAACCATACTAACCACATCAAACAAAATGGGACCAAATACCACACAAGCCGCCATCGACAACCAACCCGAGCCCCGCGCCAACTCTACAACATATCCACCACCCTCCGCAGCCGAACCCAAACAATCCCAAAAAGAGAGAAAATAAAGCCCCACACATGGAACGGGCAATGCAAGCAATTATAAGTAAAATAATATAATGAAATTCTCATTAAATGTAAGCAATGAGAGATTATCGGTAAAAGGGGGGTGATAGCATCAACTTGATGTTAAGTCAAACATATTACCAAGATATTAAATAAATTAGAAGTTTATGCTAAATGAATGAAATAACACTAAAGTATGTGGTCCAAAATCAACAGAAAATATGACAAGATGACGTGCTGGAATTCAAATGATAAAAGTTCAGCACAAATAAGCAGATAAACCTAAATTGCGAAGACAACTGAAACCACTGTTTTTGAGTTTCTTTCAAAAATGCACAAGTACTACATGTGAAAGACTAACACAGAGAGAGAGAGAGAGAACAAAATGAGTCTCTGTATTTTCATAATAGTTTTGTACATACCAACACTTAATATAGGCCACTCAAAAATAGTTGTAAAGAATACATCACAACAGAACTCAACTCAACCAAAAAACTAAGACAAACTATAACTATCTCAACTGAATTCATTGAGCTGAATCATCAGCTACATGACTTGAGATGTAATTAAGAAAAGATGCCGTTTTAGGAAACATCTTGGCCTCAACTTCTGCACTAATATGTAACAAAAAAATTATGAAATAAATATATGCTAATCAAAAGCTCGCCTCAAGCTCAAAATGGTGAAAGCCTTATCCCCACCACTTTTGGATAGGGTAAACAAATCCCATTTTGCCACTTCACTCTTGAATCTTCTTCCCCTTTTTCCCCCTCAAATCTAGGCCAAGAAGTATTTTCTAACAGATTGCTCGCACAACATTCTTGAATGCCTTCGACACAAACCAACTCACTCCAAACTTATACTGTGAAAGGGCTTCTTTGCAAATGCCTAAAACAATCTTCACCAGCTTTGTCTCTCATTTTCATCAGTTAAGACTATTTTGATGCTATGATTTCTCACATTCATTTTCTTTGTGTTTCTCTTGCTGCTCCTCCAATCTCATGTTTGCTCCCCTAGATTACTCAAAATGCCCTTAACCCTTTATTTCATCCCACTTTGATTCTATGGCACTAGCCTCTTTTTTCCCGTCTGACATCAAATTAGTACAATGTATTTATCAAGATTAAAGGTTTAGGAAGTAGAACCATGACAAATATTTTTTTCCCATGAGTAGAACCAAGACAATATATGGAGTGCAAGTAAAACCAGAAATAGGGATGGAGATAGAGTCAAACTTGATGGATAAGAGATACTTAAGAGAATATTTTTGATATCTACGCTCAACAATTCAAAGGCATCAAGAGATTGAGGATGTGACCCATAGAATTAGAACGGGATGGATGAAATGAAAGATTGCATCAGGAGCGTTTATGTGATTGTAGGATTCCTATTAAGTAAAAAGGAAAATTTATAGAAATACTATAAGACCAAGTATGATGTATGGTATCAAATGCTGGCTGGTTATAAAATACATAACCAGAAATTGAATGTGACCAAAATGAGAACGTTGAGATGGATGAGTGGTGTTACGAGAAAATATAAAATAAGAAACAAATCTATTAAGAAGTTAGAAATGGCACCAATTGAAGATAAAATGAGGGAAGGCCACCGTTTGAGATGGCCCAACCATGTGTATTGTAGACAAATTGGTGTGTTTGTAAGCTTGATGCATGTAGAGGGTGTAAAGGAAATAGAGGAAGGTTAAGGAGAACATGGGTCAAGACGAAAAGAAAGGAATGGATCCACGTAACAAATAGAGGAAGGTTAAGGAGAACATGGGTCAAGACGAAAAGAAAGGAATGGATCCACGTAACTACCCCTAGAAAAAGAATAAAGGCTTTTGAGTTGAGTATTTATCAATACTACATGAGAAAACACGTCCAGCTCCCAGCAATGCCTGCAAAAATGGAATGGTGAGTTCCTAAACACTTTCTCTAATGCATCTATCAAGGAAGCTAACAGGGGAGCAGAATTACCCAAGTAGTCCTATTTGTCTATCCCCTTTCAATGCATAAAAGTTTAAGAACGCACTCAAAAAATAGCCGCAAGTCTAATTGAAAGTTAAAACTTCTAAAAGATGCGGGATATATCTTTCAACTTCCCAAAATATCAGCAATTCAGCCGAATGTAAGAATTGCCAAAAGAAGGGCTTCTCCACTAAAATTGTTGGGAAAGGCCTTATATGAAACGAGCAAAGTTCAACCAACCGCTTAGAATTTCTTTCATGAAGGATCTCAAATGTGTCCTACTTACTCCTGCAAAACTAAGACGAGCAAAAAACCATCTAGCAAGTCATGACGACAGATAAAGTAGGTTTTCTCACCCAATGTATGCACACCGCTCCTCAGATGTAAAGAATCCCTTGAAATGAATAACTACTGGTTGATTTTTATATTGCATGGCACCCAAAAATTATTTTAAATTGTCCAACAAAATCTTCACCAGTGGGCGGTCACAGAGTTTTTCTTGGACCTAGCTTCTCTCCACTTGGAGACGGGACCAGTTCTGTCTAGTTGGGCTGGTGGGCTCCACCACGAGTCCCCCTCCCCCTCCAATGATCCGATTCAAGTTTATCTTGTAGCCTCCTGTGTGTAGATCATCCATGAAGAAAATCAAATTGATTTGTTAACTATAGCCACATGATTTTATCATATTTGTCTTTAAAAATGGATTGTATTTTCCAAATCATACTTGCCATCCACTTTCTTCCTGATTTTTCATGAATGCTACACATAGGAGATACTAGATGAATGGCTTGGATCATCAGAGCGGGATCCTTGATGGGGTCCACGGGCCCAACTGGACAGAACCAAACTTCTGTCCAGCTGGAGAAAAGCCAGATCCTTATTTCTTTATATAATGTAGTAGATAATAATGTGGGTTACCTTACCTTTTAACAGAACCGACAAAACAATTCATGATTATCATATCATTCATAACAAATTCCGTCAAATATATTTCCAGTAACTAAAACCCTAGCAATGCATGACAGTGATGAAGATGATGAGAAAATAAATCTCAGAAATCATAACTAGATTACACAATTGATAGAAGTGTTGCTAACAGACATCCATAAGAATGGGTAAAAATGAGAACCACACCTACTATAAGAAAATCTACAAAATAAAATTTTAGAACTTTCATTTCAAATACTACTCCAAAATTAAACTGGTTAAAGAAATTAAGTACCTTCAGAGGAGAAAATGCAAATGTCACAAGTGCATTTGCGCCAAAATTTACAAGCACTGCTATACTTAATCCTCGCCCTCTGAGGCGTAATGGGAAAATCTCAGAAATCATCAGCCAACCAATGGGACCAAATGACAACTGCAAAACCATTCTTCATAAGTTGTATTTCAACAAGGAACAATATTACAATATACTTGACAGAAAACCTATAAAAAAAGGGAGGGAGGGAAAGAGAAAACAACAACAACAACGTAAAGCTAAGCTTAAGGAAACAACGCCCAATTAGTACACATTAATGTGTGTTCAGCATACATGCCATCATAAAAGTAAATGGTAGATGTTCTGCTAGGTAAGATGCAGAGACAGAAATCACTAAATGCATCGGGGGGAAAAGTAAAATGACATAAGGAAACAAGCATTTGCACATGTGTACCTGATAGCATCCAACATACAGTAGCAGTGCAATTACAGCCACAGCTGGTGCATCATCCAGAAAAGTGTAATATGATCCCAGAAGAAATAATGAAACAACCTGCCATGCATTTTATTATACAATTCTTAGTTGCTTGTAGTTTGACAATTCTAATCCACAGCACCCCTAATCCATACAACTAAATCTGAGAGGATGACAACACAGTCTTATCCACTATCTCAAGATTTTTGGCATTCAACTAAATGAACAGACATCCCTGAAAGAAGAAAGAGAAGTTACCATAAAGGAGACACCACCAAGTAATAAAGGTCTTCTCCCAACTTTATCAACAACCATGACAGCTACTCCAGTCATTATCAACTACAAAAAATTAAAACATGCCAAACATTTCAGGAACTTAAAAAAAAATTAGTTTAGCGACATATATATTGCTGGCCACATTGATATAATGTTAATAACAAAAGAAAAAGGCCGGGATTACAATGCAGCTCAGTGTTCACTCATAACTTATACAGTACTACGATTATAACAGAGTTCGGAAGATGAAAATCCGGCATTTGTAACAGGGAAAAAGAAACTCCGGCCTGCAATAAAGATTTTGATTTCATACAACCATATGAGACGATGAATAAATAATCTTGTCCACTAATTCAGACAATATTTAATAAAATATTAAGATAATGATAAAGAAACTTCATAGATTGTCTGAGTTATGCCCAATAAGCTCTAGCTCAGTTTGCATCAAGGACTTATCAATCAAAGGAGGTCAAATGTCAGACTCCGCATGAAGACTTGAGCTGAGTCCATGAGTCTTGTGTAACATCTCATACATATATATATATATATACTAGTTTAAATCATTAGATATATGATAGAATTATGTGGTATGATATGTATCATTTTTTGATTTGCTATACACCTAATGATGTAGACTCCAATTCTATTACCATATCATTTTGGGTGAATTTATGTGTCTTTAATATTTCTTTCGAATTTATAAAAAATTAAAATAAAAAATTATGGTGTGTAACTTTTCTCAACGGATAAATATAAAACAAATACTACGATAATTCTCCCATGTAAAAAAAAAAAAAAAAAAAAAAACTATTAAGATAATTCACTAAACTGATAAAGAAGCAGAAGAAAATATATATACATACAAATGACTAATTTTATTAATACATAAATCATACTTGCATAACAAATGACCAATTTTATTAATAAGTCAATCATTAAGCAAATTAACAAATTTTAATAATATGAAAAATATTTTTCAGTTAACCATTTTGTTAATAAATAAATCATTAAGTCAATTAACAGTTTTTAATAATATGAGAAATATTTTTCAATAAAAAAATTTGAAAATTTATTATTGCATACGAAAATAGATTTTTTTTTCCCTAAATACTGTGTTAAATTAAAATTTATAACAAACGATAGCTGTAATTTCTAGTATTATAGAACCGATTCATATTTTAAACAAACCTTATGGGTGTATTTGTAATTTGTTAAAAAATAAAAGATTTATGTTTCATAATTGACCAAGAATGTTTGCGTAACTACAAAAAAACCTGTTGCATAATTGACCAAGAATGTTTGCGTAATTACGAAAAAACCTTCACTCAATATATAGGCCACAATTAGTAAATTATTCAAAATAAAATGGCAAAATCGGAAAGAAAAGACGAACCTCTAGCAACTAAGCAATTCTTATATATATAGATATATATTTTTATTATGAAAAAGTAAAAAAGGAAAGGTTCTTGATGGCAGTTGAGCAAATGCACCTTCAATACCCCAAGAAGAATTGAGACTCTTGTTGCATCAGATGCTGCAGAAAATCCTGCACTCTATCAAATTGTAATGGATTAGTATAAAAACACATGCTTATGTCACACTCCAGGAGAGGAAAGATTAAGTCCAAAAATTGGTCAATACTCTCAACTTAAAGCAACATATGTACCTGAAGGATTGAAGCAGCATAATATAGTACACTGGGTTGCCCTGTTATCTGCCACACAATAGGGTTGACATACGTAAGTGCAAATATTGGGACTTATTACCTCAATATAGAGCTCCAATGCCCTTAAGTCTTAACTAACAAAGATACCTGCTGAAATAACACTAATCCTGTACCAATAAGAAGAGCTTTCGAGCATTTCCCCTGGAACATCTCTGCTAATGAGGCTTCTTTTTCTTCACCCATATAAGAAAGCTCAGCCAGAATTTCGTCTACCTGTTCAGTAACTGAATCTTCACCCATAGCTTCACCCCGGAGCCGGCACAAGCAAGATATGGCAGTTTGTCTTAAATCCTGCATATTGCCTTTTCCCTGTATAGCACATAGAAGTAGCCATCTGGGTGATGCAGGTAGCCACCAAATTCCGATCCCCATAACTACTGCTAAGGGGCTACCAACCCCATACATGTAGCGCCAACCAGCAACTGTATCAACCAAAAAGCTACCAATTGTATAACCTGCCTACAAGAGATTCCAGATATTCAGATTTCAAAAGCCTTATAGCAGGAACTAAATGTTAAACAGACAAATGTTCAGAACCTAACGCAAGTAAGAAGAAAAAGAAAAATCAAAGCAGCTCTTACTTCATAAAGACTGTATAGCATAACTTAAATTCAGAAATACTCAGATGTAGCTTGCAGTACTTACAACCATCCCAAGAACTATAAAGAACTCTTTGAGAGAAATTAGTTGACCCCGTATCTGACTTGGAGCTGTCTCAGCAATGTACATGGGAGCAGCATGCATTGCCTATATATGAAAGCAAAAGAAAATAAGTTGCCTTGCTCTCGTGAAGAAATTGACAACTCAAGAAAACAAATATGAAACTCTAGTCTCTAAACACATCAATAGTTCTATCCATTGTTTCTTATGCATCTATAGACACAGATCTTCCATTTGTGTTTTTCATTTTGTTAGCTGGTCTACTGTATCAGTTGCTTATTCATATTGTGCGGAAAATTCCATTTTAATTATGAAAAAAAAAAAATAGGAAATAAAATCTGCTGACATAAAATGCTTTGCAAAAAAATATTTTGAAAAAAATTAAATATTTTCAAGGACTTACTTGCACGTATGGTGAGTGTATGCATTTTTTAACTGGTGTGGCAACTTTCAATTCTATACATATGCATGTAAATCAAAAACACATTGATGTACAAGAACAAATGTACAAGACAATAAATTATAAAATACATAGAGAACTTAACCATCATTCATCATATAGTCTTAGAAAGGCTATGATGTATATTACCAGGCCAATTCCTATACCAAACACCAAACGTCCAATCACCATAATAACAAAGTTGGGCGTCAGTGCCGTAACCAGAGCTCCAACAAGATATAATACTGCAGCCACCATCAACTCCCTTCTTCTTCCTGAAATTCAAATTCATGATATGACTTCAACAAGAAAAGCACGGTATTGATATCTAAACTTTTTGCCACAAATTTAAAAGAAAAACTAACCTAGAAAATCAGCAACATTAAAAGCCAAAATAGAGCCAATCAATGCCCCATATAGAGAGCCACTAGTCTGCAAAGGGCATCATCCAGAAATCAAAAATAAATTGACTATATATAAGATTTTTTTTTCCCCCTTTATTAGTAAAAATGTAAAGCAAACATGTACAGAGCAGAACTTCAGGAAAAATAAATCTTCCACTCATGGAATCCAGGTATAACAAGGATCAAAGAGTAGTAAACTTACTATGAGACCGATTTCCACTGAAGACAAATCATACCATGTAGTCCCGCTTAATGTGGCTGACTGCAAAGAAGAGGTTAGATGGCTAAAGTTTGTGTAGATGATAGATATATTTACACTGTTGACAGTTAAAACTTTTAGAGCGGTTGTTGGCTAACATGGTAATAGAGTAGGTGAAGTATTGGGCTCGAATTTCACCACCTACTTGACAATTATATGCATATGTTTGAACTGATGAAAGGGTCTGACCACACATGAGATGCGGGTGGTTTATGATATAGATATTTATCTTACACCCTCTCTACAGCTTAAGCTTTGAGAGGATCTAGTTGTTTACAAAGTATTAAGCTACATAAAATGATTAGAGATGCTTGAGCTGGAAAGTGGAAAGTGGAAAGTGGAAAGGTGAAGGTAACTCTACTGCCAAGCCCAAGAAACCGTTGACAGAAGTTGTTGGAGGCAAGACACCACACGTCATAAAAGATCATTGCAACAAAAGGAAGACTTCAGCGCTTAATAAAACCACATTGATGAGAAAGTCAGTCAACGGAATAATTGTTGGAATGTGTCCCAGATCGCCTGGAGTTGCCCCATCTGTGCTGGTTATAAGGTTCTAATTTCCTTCTCCTTAACACTTGGATTTGAAGGAGAAGTGTGGGCTGAGCTTTTCAATTTGGTATCAAAGCTTGGTTGGGCTGTGATTGGTGTGCTGTTTGTCCAACTACTGGATGTTGTGGTCCAGGAAGGCGTATTGGAATGTGTCCCACATCGCCTAGAGTTGCCCCATCTATGCTCGTTGTAAGGTTCCAGTTTTTCTCTCCTTAATACCTAAGTTATAAGGAGAATTGTGGGCTAGGTTTTTCAATTTGGTATCAAAACTTGGTTGGACCTATGATTGGTGTGTCGTTTATCTAGCTACTCTATGTTGTGGTCCATGGGAGTGTGTTGCAATGTGCCCCACATCGCTTGGAGTTGACCCATCTGTACTGGTTATAAGGCTCTATTTTCCCTCTCCTTAATACCTGGGTTTTAAGGAGAAGTGTGGGCTAGGCATTTCAATTATAATATGTTTAAGTGCAGATCTATTACCAAATAGTATGAGAAGTGAGTAAAACTTGGATAATCATAAATCAAAGATTGATAATATAAGCATCTTTTTCCAATTTTTTGGTAGTAAAAAACAGTCATGGAAGATGTAGTTTGCCCACTAAGTTAATCATCTGAATCCACTTGAAACAGAGCTTTTCTCTAAATGGAACACTACATAATTTTCTAAAAGTATTGCAGATGTGGAAATTATAGAAAAAATCAACCATGGATTTTATGATTACCCCTTTGGTGATTGTTTAGAACCAAATTGAAACAAGAACCCCTCTTTCAGCATCAGAATTTCTAAAATTCTAATTATCAGAAAATATAGTCCAATTTTTAAAAAAAAAATTCTTAAGGTTCGTTACCTTAATTGAAACTCAATGAAACAATACAACTTTTTATTACAACCATGTATACACAATGGGGCAAAAAGTGGCATCTCTGAAACATGAACCACGCTATATATTTCACTAGAAGAATTTAAATTTTATAACCATGATCTACAAAATACCTTTTGCTCACTAGAATGCTTAGGAGTTTTCCTTTTACCGAAAATACTTGGACTAAATTAACTCTTAAACCATGAGAACCAAGAGCTCAATTATACCAATCAATCAGAGCCAAATTGCAATAATGCAGTAGCTCAACTCAGCTCAACTAAATTCAACTCAATGAAGCCTTGTCCAAACTATTTGGGTCAGCTGCACTAATTCTTTCATGTGCAATAATCCTTCTAGAGTTGACAACTTTAATGAGAGCATACCTCTACAGAAATCGTAGCGCAAGACGTGGCACCAATATCATAGCCATATAGCAATCCTCCAAGAGCTGGGAAGAGAAATCTGAAATTATCAAGTCAATCAAGACATCTAGATTAAAGAAACTAGATGGATGACTTATTTGTTTACAAGAAAATTGGACATAAATGTAACTCAAAAGACCAAGCATGGAACTTGCAATCAAATAAGCAGTTAAATCTTGTTCGACATACACATTGATTAAAAAGCCTCCTCAATCAGCATGTTCATCATACAATACATACTACAGATCATGTCATAGGCTCAATATTCACAACAGACGAAGATGAGCATCCCAAAGATGATGAAATTGTAATATTTTAAAGTCTTTCAAAAAAATGTTCTTAGATATGAAAAAGACAATGTAACAGTCTTGAAAATAATAATAAAAAATTAAAAAAAAAAAAAAACATGATGTTATTTTGAATTGTTGCATTATGTCTCTGACAACATAAAATGGTTCTTATGTTCATGTAAATTGAAAGGGATGAGGCTTCAACCAACCAATTAGTTGTCACCATTTTTCTCTTAATGAAGACCCTCAAATCCAGAAGTATAACAACTTTCAAACAGTATAAGACTTGGGTAGCTTCCCTGAAACTAAAAAGTCCATAACTTTCCCATCCTCGAATTATATTCCAAAAGTCTAGGTAACATCTCAATTGCAACACAGTAGGTGTGATATTTCATAATATGGCCAATATAGCACTGTGGCAGCTTGGAAGATCAGTGCATTTGTTTAGGTAGTAGATCACTCCCTTCCACTTTACCATTGTTAGCACCTTCATTTCTGCTTGTACATGTTCAAAATCTGCTGAAAGTTGCAAAACGAGTGACAAACTAAGGACTGTGTGTGTATCAATCTCATGAGTAAGATGAAAGATTCTTGGCTGAGTGATTGAATTTTGCCACTAATAATCAGAGAAAGGCCTAGAGGTTGAAAGCTTGGCATTTAAAGCAAGTTATTGAAGTGAAATGACTCCAGAAATTTGTTGGAAGACAAATAATTCATCCACATCAACTCATCATGTACACGTAGGTAAACATGTAATTGGATGGCATTTTACCCAGCCTTACGGAGATTTATCAGTTATCATGAACTCTTGTCTTATGGATACCCTGCACATCTCCTAACCATGACAAATATGTTGTTGGCCCAACATCCATCTTCAAATTTTAGAAATTTAAGCAGAAAATGTTTCTTTTGTTTCATTGCCTTTAGTAGCTTATTACTTGTTCTTAAGTCAAGCAAACACTAAATATTTGCAACTCAAAGTTAGAGACAAGTAATAATCCAACAAACCACAAAATCTAGTCAAAATTCCTACAATTGCTATTTACTTCTAAAACATGATCAAGTATGATCTGTTTAATATAGCATAAACAATACAAAACCAACATTAAGCATACAAAAGTCCGCACAATATGCTAATCTCATTTTTCCGTACTGTGGAAATGCACTACTATTACCGTGTACACAAATCTTCATTCTTAGAATTTTAACATACAGCAGTCCAATATGATGTCAGATTTCCACACCCAAACCAAAAAAGTAGTTGAGAACTTATGTTGCATGTGGCTACCAGGTGGAGGAGATTTACCTGCTACTTTATGAAATTACAATAAGGAAATCAGAAGAGTATGCTGAAACATACTATTCATGCTACAATGTGTTTGGTGTGAAAAGATTAGATGAGAACCCACTCATACAATGAAAAATGGTTATCATTCCTATAAGTCAGGTATGTACTGTGAATCATTGTTTAAAAAATGTTGCCGAATGTTCAAATAGTTTTGATCAGTGTCATACTAAATTACAATAGAAGAGCAGAATTTGTTCAACTCCTATGCTTAATGCAATTCTTTTATCTATTTAAACCCAAGTCATATTGATGGCAACACAATGCTTTTAATGTCAACACCAGGAATAAAGTTTCATGTTCTTGATTGAAGCTTAGACTCAAGAATGCACTGGACTAGTACAAGAAACAGGTACAACTTTCCTATGAGTATATCTATACTATCTATTCTATACTAATAAAGTGAACAAGTCAATTTGGTGTGAACAACAAATTGAACCTGCATAATGCTTTTTTCAACTCCAAAATTATCCAACAAAAAAAGCACTTTATAACTGTTAAAAGAAATTTATTTGTCTCAACTGTCAAGTCAAAATTGTAAACCTTTCACAAATACAAAATCATTCAATTTACATAACCGATTCAGTTACTTAATTTGATGTATTACCCACACACAATGTGTGTCACGATTTCTAAGTCTGTATATATGTCTATTGATATCAAAATATAGATATATAAATATATATATATATATATATATTCATCTACACTCACGGAAGGATCGCTGCGAGAACAGAATAGTTTTCAGAATGTCGCTCCCCATTGATAAGAGGCACTTGCGCACTGTCGATCTCACCTGATGACTGCCCGGCCTAATTTAACACCACCAAAAACAAAAAAATCAGCATTTTGTAACAGCATTTCAATCCTTTATTTTTCTTCTTTTCATCATATTTAATTAAAAATTTAGTCAAAAGCTTGATATGATATACAACACTCCAATCCTTTCTCTTTGTTTTTCATCAATTTTTTTTTGAAAAAATTCCAAGTTATCCTAAAACTAGTTTTTTTTATTTTATTTTTTATATATATAAAAAATAAAAATAAAAAACATTTATAAAACTAGCTTTTATATATATATATATATATATATAAAAAACATTTATAATGAAAGAAAACATCTCCAATCCTTTAAAATTTCATCAAAAATGAGTTAAAAAATATAACTGTTGGAAATTCTGTGAAGGATTTGGTTCGTCCTTGATTTTGTGAAAATTTTGTTTTGTCCCTTGATTTGAAACAGACTTGATGAAATAGTTGGAGCACACTCTTCACCATTTTTCCATCAAAATAAATAAATTGAAGGATTGGAGATGCACAAAAGAAACAATTATATATATATATATATATATGCATACATTTGTGTATACAAACAGGCGCGCGCACACACACACACACACAAACAGAGCAAGTAAATAGAGAAACCTTTCCGAGGGAAGAGAGCGAGAGCTGCTCTGGATCAGATGAAACAGACGCCATTTCTGAAGATCCTCAGAGAGAGAGAGAGAGAGAGATTGAGAAATGCGAGAGACGTGAATTTGAATGTAACAATATAGTGAAAGAAAGGCTCTCTCTCAGATTAATCTTTTCTTAAGGTTTTGTTTTCGAATTTTGAAGTTTGTTCACGCTTTCTGTATGTTCAAATTGGTTGGTAGGCGGGTAGTCTAGATTGAGTTGGCTATAGAAGGATCCGAATGGAATGGGGGTTAGACATTAAGGGTAGTCTAGAGAGAGAGAGAGAGAAGAAAAAAAAGGTTAGTTGCAGTTGTCTGGTCGGAAGAACTTGGAAATAGCGGCACAGAATACAGCTACGTTGGACCGTTAGACAGCAGAAGAAGAAAAGACTTTAACCAAATCTACCTTTTCACCGTCAATAATTTTTAGTTTTCGTAAATTACACTTTGTGCCCTGCATTTTATACCTAATTTTATTTTGGTTCGTTTATTTTTTTAATTGTAACAGTTTATTTTTGTATTGCCGGTCCAGTTGCGTTAGTCAAGTTTTAAATTTACTAATGAAAATTATCATGTGATCTTTACATGAAATATTTTTAGAATAAAAAAGCAATTTAAGGGCAAGAGAAGTAGACGAGATAAGTTAAAATATGTCTGAGTAATATATTGAGATAAAATTCGTTTTTTATGGATCACGCACACACACACAGAAACAGAGCAAGTAAATAGAGAAACCTTTCCGAGGGAAGAGAGCGAGAGCTGCTCTGGATCAGATGAAACAGACGCCATTTCTGAAGATCCTCAGAGAGAGAGAGAGAGAGATTGAGAAATGCGAGAGACGTGAATTTGAATGTACCAATATAGTGAAAGAAAGGCTCTCTCTCAGATTAATCTTTTCTTAGGGTTTTGTTTTCGAATTTTGAAGTTTGTTCACGCTTTCTGTATGTTCAAATTGGTTGGTAGGTGGGTAGTCTAGATTGAGTTGGCTATAGAAGGATCAGATAATGGGGGTTAGACATTAAGGGTAGTCTAGAGAGAGAGAGAGAGAGAGAGAGAGAAGAAAAAAAAGGTTAGTTGCAGTGGTCTGGTCGGAAGAACTTGGAAATAGCGGCACAGAATACAGCTACGTTGGACCGTTAGACAGCAGAAGAAGAAAAGACTTTAACCAAATCTACCTTTTCACCGTCAATAATTTTTAGTTTTCGTAAATTACACTTTGTGCCCTGCATTTTATACCTAATTTTATTTTGGTTCGTTTATTTTTTTAATTGTAACAGTTTATTTTTGTATTGCCGGTCCAGTTGCGTTAGTCAAGTTTTAAATTTACTAATGAAAATTATCATGTGATCTTTACATGAAATATTTTTAGAATAAAAAAGCAATTTAAGGGCAAGAGAAGTAGACGAGATAAGTTAAAATATGTCTGAGTAATATATTGAGATAAAATTCGTTTTTTATGGATCACGGGGTAAGATAAATTTTGCTATCCCTTGATTAAAAGTTTGAAAATCTTTGTTGAGCAGTATCTTACTCGGTAAAGTAGATTGGCAAATTTCACTAATTTGGAAAATATTTATCAAGTTTCACCAATTTTGAAAATTTTTGTCAAGTGGCATTTTACTTGGCAAAGTATGTTGACAGGTTTGACCAACTTTGAAAATTTTTGTTGAGCGGCATTTTCCTAAGCAAAGTAGGTTGACAAGTTTGGTCAACTTTGAAAAATCTTTACCCACGGCATCTTGCTCAACAAAATAGATTGGCAAGTTTGACTAACTTTGACATTCCTTACTGTAGGGGGGTTCGAGGTTAAGAATATGATTAGAGAGGCAAAACTATGTTAATGGTCCAACAATGGTAGAATAACTAGAAAATGAGTAGCAATAACTGTCTGGGAGGTTGGAGAGTGAGTTGTTGGGTAAGGGTGAAACAAGTAACTCAAGAAGAAAACAATAGCAGCGCACAAATGGGTAGCATCTCCCCAAAATCCCCAAAATTCCTCTTGTTCAACCTTGGGAAATGGGTCCTATTTATACGTTTTTTCTTGGTACCAAGAGGACACCAAATGGCCAAATAGAGAGAAGACAAGTGTCCCTAAGGATTACATAGAATATTCAGCCTTGAGCCACCAGGCTGAAGGCGCCACGTGTCCCTCTACATGTACTGTGTATTATTGGTTTGCCTTCACAACTACCCTTTTAAACCTCAGCAAGTGTAGTTGTGACAGGAGTGTTTGGTGCTATAACTCCCTTTTGAGCCTCAACAAGTGCAGTTACAGCGGAAGCGTTTGCCGCTACATTTGCCTTCTCAGTTCGAACCTCAGCAAGTGCATTTGCAGCGGTAAGCCTTGCTGCGCCATTTGTCTTCTCATACTTGGCCAGTGCATGCATTCTCAAGACTCCATTAGTCTTCTATCGACTATGTTCGTGTTCACTTTAGCAAAACCTCCACCCTTAGCCACCTAATCGCAAACTTTCCAGCTTCCCAAAGCGAAGGCCACAGCCAAGCCTGCTATCAGCCATGCTGTGCCTTAGTACCAAGCCCAAAAGGGCTTCCTTAGTCCTGCCTATGCGATTAAGGCAAGTCCATGACCTGGGTAATGGAAAGAGAGTCCCTTACACTTGAGCTACCCTGCTCCCATCTTCGCGGGATCGCTGCCGTAAATTGTTATTTCTAGGCCTACTATCAGCTTCAACCAGTAAGTCTCTTGGGGCCTTCTATTAGCGCCAAGTTAATGAACTTTGGGGCCTGCTATTAGCCCTAGGTTAGTAATGCCTTGGGGCCCGCTATCAGCGCCAAGCATTAACCTCTTCTTACAGAGAGAAAGCTTTTTCCAAAGGTTGCTATCACCTCGACATGATGTTCCCTTCGCAAATTGGTTGCAGCTGCTATAATTGTTGCGGTAGTCGTTTCTCATGGCAAGTTCAAATGGCCAGAACTGACAATATTGGAGATGGCGTCGACAAAGTGCCTCTGCAGCTTAGTTGCTTTAGTTCTCTTCTTCCCTCAGCAACTCCAGGTAGTGGCGGAATCGACAATACTTGGAATGGTGGAGGTACCAACAATACTTAGAATGGCGGCGCTGAAACAAAGTGCCTTCGCAACTTGGCCGTTGCAAGTGTCGCCTCTGTAACTTAGTTACTTCGGCTTTCTTTTTCCCTTAGCTTCAGATGGCCGCTGAATCGACATTATTGGGTAATGGCGACGTTGAGTCAAAGTGCCTCAACAACTTGACCACCACAAGTGTTCCCTCCGCAGTTTGACCGTTACATGTGTTGCCTCTGCAACTTGACTTAGGCATTTTCCTTCATGGAGTCTGTTTGGACCCTTGTCATGTCAGACCTACTTCAGCCCTCTGTTGGTCCACTTCCCTTGGGCTTAGCCCATGCTCCCTTTTCATTTCTAGGGCAACCTTAGTACTTAGGCCCATACTTAATTTGAAGCTTAATTTCTGACTCTCTACACTTGCCAAGCGGGTTTTGCTCAAGAAGAAGTAGGTTGATAGTTTGTCTAATAGCGGGATTCCTTACCAAGAAGATTTTGCTCGCCAAGAAACAAATTGGTGTTTTGGTAATTCCTAACTTGACTAGGCATGCTTTGCAATAAGTACTAGCGAGATTAGGTGTTCTTGGAATAAATCCTAACGAGGTTAGGCATTCTTGGAATAAGTCCTCGCAAGGTTAGGCATTTCAGAGTATGCCCTAGCACCCATGTATAGTTCTAGCTAAGCAATATTATACAACTATTTTTATCAGAACAATAGAAAGTTTCCACTCTTTCACTGGATTCAAAGAGAACGGAAGCTTGGGACAATTGAGAGGGAATAAAAATAACCACAGGAATTATGTGAGTCTTAACACTACCACGTGGCATAATTATGGATTATCACGTCTATGGCAGTTGTCAAGATATAAAATGTTACCAATATATGAGTCCTGAATAACTGGAGATTATTTGGGATAGGACTTCTCAAACATTCAAACTAATTGCTAGGTAAGTCACTGAATATTATAAATAGGTGATACTGTCATAGGTTGAGATACGCAATTTCTTTCTATGATATGAATTAGTCCATTAAATATTTTGATAATTTTAGAAAACTGACTTGAACATCGGAGAACCTCTATCATTTCAGGATTGAGGTATTTTGTCTTGTAGATAGCGATCGCGTGGTGGTACTTTCATTGAATTTCTCCATCAATAAGTACGTAATTTTTCTTTACCCGTACAAATTCCTTCTTTTATATTTTTTTTTTCTATATTATATTTTCTAAACTCAACCTCATATATCTCTTTTATTATGCTACTCTTCATCTTTTTACCACTACGACTATCCCTTAATTGAATGAAAGGAAATACAAGAGGTGCAGGGAAGTCATAGAGTAAAAGGAATTCATAGGTAGTAGTAGCCATGAATGGGAGGGAAAAAATGAGTAGGCAGTGGCCATAAGAAATAAATAAATTGGATAAAAGTCTTTTGTTTTTTTTCTATTATATTTTGCAAACTCACTACCTAAAAAGTTTGGTTAATCAATCTTAGCTCATGAACAGCATTAAAACTAAAAAATTCTCATTTTCTTACCAAACCAATCTTGTTAACTTCTCTCCCAATACTACAGTTCAATTTGAACTCATGAGAGTATGACGTTGGTGATTAGTATTGGTGGCAAACATGATTCCACGTGAGTTTGGTTGTCCTCAAAATAAAAATAAACTGTAAGTATTTTTGTTTTATTATTTTATTTTTTTAGCACACCATAAGATGCTAATAAATTAATAAGACTATATTATTATAGCAAGCTAATGTTATTTTATTAAAGAAAAATTACAAATCAATATAAAAGAGCAAAATGATTTACAAACATGCAATTCTTTTTGTATAACAAAATCACAGCAAAAGTTGCACCTCCATCTTTTGATAAAAAAAAAATTCCACTTCCCACTATCTTGTAATTTTCATTTTATTAATTCGAAATTAAAAAGTTAATGGAAATTCTACATGCATATTATAGAAAATCTCAATACACACCATTTATGTCGTTTATATATAAATTTTTAAACAAAAATCAAATATTCAGATATAAATTTATAAACAAAAATTAATTATTTAGATATATATTTCGTTAAACTGTTTTTCATTCGTAAGTGTGCGTCTAAACATTTAATTTTATTTAAAAAGTTATATTCAAACGATATAAATAATATGTATTCAAATTGTTTTTAGTGTGCTAATAAAATTAAGAGTAAATTACACTCGCCCCCAGATTTTTAACAATTGCATACTTCTTTTTTAAAATGATAGTTACCACCCTTGCATTGTAACAGAATTTCAGTTACTAGTTTTATGTCAATGAAAAAAATGAAA